CTCTTCGCCTTATCAGTCTAACTTCGACTCAGGAGGTAAGTGATTTTACAAACGTAATATTCAACATTCATCGTGATTGAATCATTTATAGTAGTCCATAAACACAAATTCAATTAACAACATGTTCCTCTGTAAAGTTGACACCCATCTTTGAGAAAAGACACCCGTTTGAGGAAGATCCAATAATGGGGCCACATCCTATGTTACTCATTCAAGAATATGACAAGTGGGTTCGTGAAGGTCTTCTAGCAAGACATGATCAGAAGTGAGTTTTCCCCCGTTCATTGTATTATGTTTTCATTTTTTTAAGGTATGTACATAATGAGTTTTATATCATACTTGTAGAGGTAATCTCGACGACCATTACAAGAAAAACAAGTCTATACTTCACATTCCATTGGATTTTGGAGTTGATCAAGTTGATTCCAAAAACTGGTTTTACTTCTATCCATTTATGGGAAGTTATGGGATGACAATGTGAGTCTTTCCCAAAAATGATAATCTTATCTTTAAATAATAACATGCTATTTTATTAACTTGTATTTAGTTGTATTATTCAGCTGTATTCAGTTGTATTTTTCTCTGATTTCCTATGTATTCAGCTATAGTCAATTGAATTGAAATGTATTATTAACCTATAGTTAACTTTATTGAAACTGCTGTATTCAACTGTATTGAACAATTGAATTACTTGTATTCATCCAATGGCAGTTAAATTCAACTGTTTCAACCAGCTGTCTAGATCTGTATTTAACTGTATTACAGTGTATTCCACCAAAATCAGTTGAATTGAACTGTATTATTAACCTATATTCAACTCTATTCTACATGTTGTATTCACCTATATTAAGGAATTGAATTAGTTGTATTCATTCAATGTCAGTTGAATTCAACTGTAGTCCATAATCTGAATACAGTTGTATTCACCTGTATTACAGTGTATTCCTCTATTTTCTGTATTCATTTGTATTCAACTTTTTTTTAGCATCTGTATTGAGGTATTCATATATATTATTTCTTAGTTCAAGCAAATAAACTCACACTATCTACCAACCTCTTTTGTTTATAGCATATGGATGTCATATTCTACTATTTGCGAAAGATGGGCAAGTACAATCAGCATAGGGACTTC